ATTAAATAAAAAATAATGTTTTCGTTGGTAGAATCAGCGTTTCAAAATTATTTACAGTGTTATCGTAAAGCAGAACTCGAGTATGTCGATCCAACCATTTTTTTTAGAGATATAAAATCAGAACTTTTTAATGTAATTACTAACTTCGGGAATGATTATAGAGTACGATTTGTGATTAGCTTAAAAGTAATAATGTACAAATGTATAGAAATGGGAGATAAATACGAGTTTAAAGATTTTTTTTTTACGAGTTATGCCGAACGAGTTTTAAGCCCATTTCTAGCATGGAAAAGTATCGAGAATGCAATAAACAAAATTCTAGGGGATATATCCGTTGCGGTAGTATTAGGCAGCGGGTGGCTAATTTACAAATTAGATTATATTGATATTCATAGATCATCATATAATGCATATAATGGAGGGTGTGGTTCCATAATTTTACCTAAACATTTAGTAAATAAAAAATGTATTTTAAATATTCGATGTAATGATAATAAATGTTTTGTGTATTGCATTCTCGCGAGTATTTTTCCATTGAAAAATAATAAAAACAATATATCTAGCTATAAAAAATATTTAAAATTTATTAATTGTTCGAACTTAAAATATCCAGTTTCGTTGGAGCAAATATATGCTTTTGAAAAATCGAATAGTATTTCCATTAACATATATGGATATAAAGATATTGTTTTTCCATATTATATAAGTAAGTTTAAATTCCGTAAAATTGTGAATTTACTATTATACCAAAATCATTATTTTTTAATTCGAAATTTCAACAGACTTTTACACGAAAAACAAAAGTCACTTTATTACTATTGTAAAAATTGTTTAAACGGTTTTCAACGCGAATCGAGTTTAAATTTACATAGAGAAATATGTACAAATTTTAAATTTCAGAGACTATCGGTTCCTACAGTTGAAAATTCCATTCTTAAATTTAACGAATTTCATAAGATGCTTAAGCATCCTGTTGTCGTTTATTGCGACTTCGAATGTTTAACAGAAACAGTTTCTAACGCGATGCAATCAACAGATACTAGCTTTAGTACCGTTACGCAAATTCATAAACCGATTTGTTATGCGATGGTCGTATTAGATAAAAACGAAACAATTATCTATTCTAAATTTTATTGCGGCTTAGACGTTATAGACAATTTTTTAGAAACTTTAAAACATCAATCGGAACGTCTTATTAAAGAAATAAAACTTAATATTCCATTAGATCCTCGAACAATTCCAAATTCTATTAATCGAGATAAATGTAATATTTGTGGTAAAAAGTTTTCCCCTAATGATGTAAGGGTAATTGATCATAATCATTTAGATGGAACGTTTCGACAGGTAGCATGTCAAGGATGTAATTTAAATTTAAATCTAAAACCTTTTATTCCCGTAGTTCTTCATAATTTTTCTGGTTATGATTCGCATCTAATTTTAAAAGATATTTCTAAAAAGTATATATCCTCTCTTAGAATTATTCCCATTAATATGGAAAAATACACTACATATACTTTAGATTGTTTTAAATTNTATATTTCTTACCAGACGGCGCCACTCGCATTAAAGAAAAAAAATCGCTTGTATATATAAAAAATTAGTTCTCTTATCTAAACAAAAATTATATATATCGCATATTAATATATATTTTTTGGAATCTAAGTCCGTTTTTACAATATCTTAAAAGTATTAGAAAACGTCTTATAACGGGAGCGATTTATTCCAGAAACTCTCGTTCAAATCTCGCGCAGAAGTATAACCGAAGGGGCATCGAAAATGGGTGTGGTTTTCGACTCCTATGAGAGTTTCTGGAATAGTAATTAACTCGGAATCGGTCGAGAGATTCTGCGATTTTGCTCGATTTTAGCCCTGCTCGACGTCTTTCCCTCAAAATGATGAGAGTTTCTGAGATGAAAGTTATAAACCCTCGCGAAGTTAACCAAATTATCCCAGAGTCTCTCATATATATACTACTGATATAGTTAATTTTTAATGATGGTAGCAGGTTTTCGTCAAGAATTTGTAAGTATTTCGCTGCATTCACTGATCTCCTTTGTTAATTAAAAAGAAAATTTCTCACACCTTGGCTGACACGCAACACCACACTATACTGCTTGCTGCGACTTTTATACTGCGCCATACACAGTCATAATTGAAAGCCTTTTCTCTTTTTCTGATGACTTCAATTTTTCTAATTGCTTTTAATGCAGACTCGAAACTTTGCGTGATCATTATAAACAATGCTTTTACTGTTGTATCTGGCATTTGTGCTCTAGGGCCCAATTCAATCGCCTTTTTATTTGTTTTTTTTTTTTTTTTGAGAAGAGATTTTCACATTTATCTACATAAGCACTCAATTGTAGTGAAAATCAAGATAAAATCTAGGACCCAGCTGCTTTTCCATTGTATATTGTACCAGAGTTTCCCACTGTTCTTGGCCAGAATTTTTCGAAGATAGAAGTTTGCTATTGGTGAAATACAATCCTCTCGCTAATAGACTTTGTTTGCAACTCAGCTTCTATCTTCCGACAAAGTCATCTTTAGGAAGACGGCACTGTGTTTCAGGCTGAATAGTGTGCTATCCTCTGTACTGTCGAATGGTGCAGTAATTGCTATTATTGACAATGCATCAACATCTGCACTTGGTCCATGCATCCATTGTCCATAGGATGAATATGTGCGCAATTAACTCTAATGATCGGTATGTTTAGATGTGGATTACAAGACATCAAGGAAATTTCGTTAATGACAGAGCTGATGAGCTAGATAAGGAGGGCGCAGGCAACTCTCTGCGTAATTGTATCTACAATGCTGTGTCATTTAGCTCCATGCCGGAAATAAATGCGCCCTAAATATGAAATAATAAGATTTAACTGCAGTCTATTATGGCAGGTTTTTTTTAATTCTTCATAATATTGACTGCCTGGAATTGTGGGAAATCGCCCTTTTTACGCGGAAGTTTACTCGAATAGAAATTTAGGGTTTGTATCAGCTGGCATAACGTACTAATGAGTTAGACGTCCAGATGTTCATCAAAAGTAGAGATAAACTGTTATGAAGAAAAATTCGATTTCCCTTTTTGACATAAAAGAGGAAAATGTGTCAGTTTTAAGGTTAAAGTATTACTTGAGAAGGTCGATTAAACAAATAGATATTTAATTAATTAAATAAAATCGCTCTATACTCTCACGTTTTCACAGAAATTTTGACTTTGTTATAAGCTGTTCGTTCGCTTACTTCACGGCATTTTTTCTACTGAGCTTTATGTAACAAGAGCACACTGAAAGGATGATTTGAGAAACGGAATTATAAAATTTATTTAGCGTGAGAAAGTGTATTTGGCTTTTTATATTTTTACTTTAACGGAAGACAAAAAGTGACACTGATGTGTTAGAAAGAGAAATCCACTTCCCTTCACAAGTTCTTATTTGCAACTTCGACAACCATGTATGTATTTAACTGTTCTGTCCATTCCATCAGCAGACGTAAATCTATGATTGGTATTGGACGAACTGACGATGAAAGGAGTGATTTCCTGCCATTGGAGACAGTCAACAGAAATATGACATTGTGTTAGGAGACACATAGTTCTCTGCAATTCGAAGGTGCCATATTAGCAAGAGTTCCCTCACTCTCATTTTTTGCGTTGTGCCCTGTCTCCGCAACAATTCACTGCTTTTATCACAGAATAAACGACTGCCATCGAGACCTTCAATTAAGGTAGTATGTCTAAGTTGTAAGCTATTTGTCTCGCAATTAGACATAGGTCTAGCATTTCTTTATGTAGCGATTAATTTGTTTTTATATTTTTTCCTCATTAAATTTTGTTTTCTTGCTTTAAATAGTGTTGTTGTTGAGCTCAACTCCGTGCCAAAATTCATGAATTTATGATCCCTTTTACTCCGAAAAGTATGCCTATATAAATTGAATCATTAGCATGCCTAACGCACAAATTAGGCTGGGGTCAGGAAAAATGAACAGAACGATCGTAAGAACTTCTGATTTCAAAATTTAGAAAATATTTATAAACTTATCCTATTGTCCCTGTGGACAGATCTTCCAGATCTGAGGTCGAACAAGAGAGAGAAACTAAATTTGTTCATTCCGACTTTCCATAATACCAATTTCTAGAAATATAGAAAATGTATAGATAAAATTATAATCAGAATGGTTTTGTTTATAAATATAAAAGTAAATGTTAATAATACCAAAAACATATAGCTAAGAATACATCTATTAAGAATTATACAAAATTTAAAGAAAATATATACGTAATGTAACTCCTAAATATATTCATCAAAGTATGAAAAATTTTAATCCAACACATTTATTTCTGCATTAACACAGTGCCTAAAAAAACTTGTGTATAACTGTGTAGACACATACGCTATTATCTAAATGTTATTTATTGTCAACAAATTGCCTTTATAATGGAGCAATTTTTTTCTCTGACATCATTTCTGAAATTATATCGATTTGTAAAAGAATAACTCTTTGCGAGTAGAATGAAGTGTAGCAGTGTGGGACAGTGCAGTATGTACTTTATGCCTGGAATATAAATACCATATGTTCGTGAATTGCATGCAAGAACATATTTCTATAAGTTTTACAAGGTTTTCAATCATTTTAAAAACTATTTGGACATTCTATCTGTAATCTTTACAGTGATAAAGCAGTGGAGATAATCGACACAAAAATGCAACAAAATGCGTACATACAAAAGATACCATCTCCCACATTGAGAACACATATAACTTAAGAATTTTTGGAAAATACACAAATCCAGTAATATGCCATTTTCAATAATCTTCAACACTCTGGTACTGGGACAATAAAGATCTTGTACCGTAGAAACAAAAGTAGTGCGTGCATGCTTAATAAGTTTATAATATATGCTATTTTATGATTTCAAAAATAATTATATTAAAATTTATATTAATTTTAATCAAGTAAATAGTTATTAGGTATAATAGCCTATATAACATTTCTATTTATTACAGAAAGTTGTCGCCTTATCACTTTTATTTACGTCGCCGTTTTTCATTATTACTTCGATATGCATGTTGTGGAAATATTATGGATGGACTATTATAATTGGGTTCTTAGTAATATTTCTCTATCTTCCTATACAAATTGCTTTGAGTAAACTATATTCAAAATTGAGGTAATTATTATTTTAAATTATATAATTGTAAAATATCTGTAAATTAAATCAAAAAATCATCATTTATTATTTAATAATGTTTAATAGAAATGAAATTGGTGTTTTTAACATACATAAAATCTTATGTACTTAATGGATATCTATGCTTTATTAGCTGGCATTAGAAATGGTAAGATGGCCAACGTATTATCGAAATGATCGGAGATGCTAGGGTTCGAATCCGTTCGCGAAATCCAAAAATTTTTTTGATAATACTCAAATGCTAGATGACGGACAGCATATGCAGACAAGCCATTATGAGCCTGACCGAATCCATTGTGGCCATAATATGATTAGAAAGTCCAGAGGATTAAATAAACAAAAAATAAAATAATTGCTTGTATAGGCGAAAAGGTATATTTATAAACACGCTTTTTATTTTTGGAATGTGAATAATATGTGTGAAATTATACATAAAGTATGTTTGGAAAATAGATATTATACGCACATGAATTATGGCGAATGTCTGTTTGCTTCAACAATGTGTTAATAAACGTTCTTGTAGGATTTATATTCTTTCTTAACGTGATACTATCATACATCATATTATCATCAGACGGATTAATGTGAGATCAGCCAGGGCGTAAATCGAAGTCTACGCCACTTACGGGCACTAGTCGGTAAGACCAGTTCTCGATCGTCCAAAGAACGGCCTTTCCTAAACGTAGGGGAACGAGTGTGGAGGGCTTTACTGTTAGATTATAATTTAGAGCGGAAGTTGGTGGGGGCGAATTCACCTTCTTCCTATGTCAGGGTCCCGACACCAGTTAATCAATCTTCTTAAACGCGGATTAACACGCGTATGCGATCTGATTCGGTCACACAATTAGGAGACATTTTAATTAAAAACGAAACAATAAATTTAATAAAACAAGAAAAACTCATACAAAAATCTTAATGTACGAGAGATAGAACTACTACGAATAATATACAAATCGAGAGATAGCTAAGCTTATATTATACCCTATTCACGATCGAGAGAGAGCTCACAAAATCGTTACAAAACATACGACCTGTTTAGTTGTCGTTCGTCTTCTTCTCTGTATGCAAGGGACACTTTGGAGATAAAGTTCATTTACTTCTTCGTATGGGAGATCAATATGTGCACAAAATCCAAGTATGGTTTCTAAGTGCTAAGTCTGGAATTATTCTGTATGTGACTCGTCTAAAGACGTTGGTCATCTGGAGGAAAAACGTATGGAGTTTGGACGCTTCCAGAACTGTCGCTGAACTCCCCGAATTCTGACAAATTCCCTGTATATCTTCTGAATTTCGACCAATCATCGGCCAGTAACTCTTTCATGAGAACGGATGAAAGGGGAATGAATGAGGGGTAACCATTTCCCATCTGAGCAGGATTTTAACCAGATAAGGGAAAGTCAGAGGATGTTCTAACTTCAGTGAAAGGAAGTAACATCTGTTATCTGCCTTTTCCCACGTTAAAACAGTATTTTTCTCACCAAAAATGAAGTAATATTTGGTGACATTATTTTAACATTATTAATAAAATATTAATTTAGACCCAGGATCCTTTCGGGTCTCACATTAAAAAACATTCAAAAAACAGATATAGCAAAGCTATAGCAAAGGTATAGCAGAGTGTGCTGCTAATGCAAGGAAAACGTTTGAGCTTATATTGATATGATTCAGGCAAGAGTTGGTCTGAAAAGAAAGTAAAGACAATTCTGTAAATATATAAAATGTTTTAATTTGTAATTCTTAATGCTTTCTCTGTACAATTAATCATATATTATTCTTGTAATCATAATACTAAATATAATTTCCGCTTTGCCAACGGGTTGGTCACATGAAGTTTTCCGTGTTTTTTTGCATTGAGTATATGGTAATAAGGCCAGTCTTTCATGAAAGACCTCCGGAAGACGTTTCTTTGGCCATATCGTCCAAATGTCACGTTGCCTTAAAACGAATAAAACCTGAAACCAGATGCCGAGAAAGGACTAAATTTCATGGTATTGGCAAAGATGGCTCAAGCAGAAGGTCAGTCGTAAGAGTGAAGGAGACGAACATTATCATTTTAGTTTACTCATCATCTTTAGCATTAAGCACAAAATATTTCAAATTTACAAAAGCATGTTAATGAATAAATCATATGTTCGTGAATTGCATGCAAGAACATATTTCTATAAGTTTTACAAGGTTTTCAATCATTTTAAAAACTATTTGGACATTCTATCTGTAATCTTTACAGTGATAAAGCAGTGGAGATAATCGACACAAAAATGCAACAAAATGCGTACATACAAAAGATACCATCTCCCACATTGAGAACACATATAACTTAAGAATTTTTGGAAAATACACAAATCCAGTAATATGCCATTTTCAATAATCTTCAACACTCTGGTACTGGGACAATAAAGATCTTGTACCGTAGAAACAAAAGTAGTGCGTGCATGCTTAATAAGTTTATAATATATGCTATTTTATGATTTCAAAAATAATTATATTAAAATTTATATTAATTTTAATCAAGTAAATAGTTATTAGGTATAATAGCCTATATAACATTTCTATTTATTACAGAAAGTTGTCGCCTTATCACTTTTATTTACGTCGCCGTTTTTCATTATTACTTCGATATGCATGTTGTGGAAATATTATGGATGGACTATTATAATTGGGTTCTTAGTAATATTTCTCTATCTTCCTATACAAATTGCTTTGAGTAAACTATATTCAAAATTGAGGTAATTATTATTTTAAATTATATAATTGTAAAATATCTGTAAATTAAATCAAAAAATCATCATTTATTATTTAATAATGTTTAATAGAAATGAAATTGGTGTTTTTAACATACATAAAATCTTATGTACTTAATGGATATCTATGCTTTATTAGCTGGCATTAGAAATGGTAAGATGGCCAACGTATTATCGAAATGATCGGAGATGCTAGGGTTCGAATCCGTTCGCGAAATCCAAAAATTTTTTTGATAATACTCAAATGCTAGATGACGGACAGCATATGCAGACAAGCCATTATGAGCCTGACCGAATCCATTGTGGCCATAATATGATTAGAAAGTCCAGAGGATTAAATAAACAAAAAATAAAATAATTGCTTGTATAGGCGAAAAGGTATATTTATAAACACGCTTTTTATTTTTGGAATGTGAATAATATGTGTGAAATTATACATAAAGTATGTTTGGAAAATAGATATTATACGCACATGAATTATGGCGAATGTCTGTTTGCTTCAACAATGTGTTAATAAACGTTCTTGTAGGATTTATATTCTTTCTTAACGTGATACTATCATACATCATATTATCATCAGACGGATTAATGTGAGATCAGCCAGGGCGTAAATCGAAGTCTACGCCACTTACGGGCACTAGTCGGTAAGACCAGTTCTCGATCGTCCAAAGAACGGCCTTTCCTAAACGTAGGGGAACGAGTGTGGAGGGCTTTACTGTTAGATTATAATTTAGAGCGGAAGTTGGTGGGGGCGAATTCACCTTCTTCCTATGTCAGGGTCCCGACACCAGTTAATCAATCTTCTTAAACGCGGATTAACACGCGTATGCGATCTGATTCGGTCACACAATTAGGAGACATTTTAATTAAAAACGAAACAATAAATTTAATAAAACAAGAAAANTTACAAGGTGTCTGCGGTGTGACCAATTAGTAAAAACAAACAAACGCCCCGGGGAGAGGGAAGTTATTCCGCGGTAGTCTCGCACGACTTCGTCCTAGGAATGACCTTCTTGACGGACGAATTACGCAGTTGATTATCCGGGGTCTATTCCTCGGACATTGGGGTGAGAACGGGAGAAATAACGGAAATAATGATGAAAGAATATAAAAATTCTCATACGATAGTGAGATTTTCACATTTATATGTTAATTTTACAAATTGATTCACTTTTTTAACTCCCGTTTTGTTCCCTCGATGTAGCAGTTTGATTCAGTGCATATAAAATTGATTTCATATACTGCTCTCGAAGTCTTAAGTTCGTCTTCTTTCTGTTTGTTGTAGTGTAGGAACAATAGTGTTATTAGCCCAATTCTTTGTGTTGATGGGCTTAAGAAGGATAAGTTATTAAAATATTTTTATATTTTTATATATTCTTTATATATGCGAAAAAGAACATACTTTTTAACTGATTTTTCGATTTAAACATTATATCTAGTAGTTATTTAATAACTATGAATTCTTTCAAATTCTTTCAGGTTATCTATTTGGTAGATATTTCTCATGTAGCCTCACCTTAGAAACATTTTCTTTAAGTGTTGTATTTCCATAGTGAATGTATTTCTTTTGATGTCTGCAGGACAGGAAGATTTATAATTATAGTCGTTTTATTTACATTACAGAGCTTTTTGTATTTACTGAATTAAAATCCCTTTTCTGTTCTATTAATTGTAACATCCAAATAATTAATTATTTTCTGTTCTTTTTTTCACTTTAAACTGCATATTTCGATTAATCCTGTTGTTGAATTATTCTGTTGTTTTAGCTATAATCGGCTTTCGAAATTTTAAAAATATATCTTGAACATCCTGGCATAAAATATTATAGCTTGTATGTTTGACATTGTTTTTTCCTCTATACTTGATATACTAATTTCTGCTAACTTCGTTCTTACAACAAATATTATTTTTTTGTCTATAAAACTATGGAAAATTTAAAATATTTGTTATTTAAAAACAAATTCTATTGATTCTCTGATATGACCTGGTATATTACACTTACTTAAGTTACCTAAAACCATTCTGTTTCATGGACAAATACATAAATTTTACATCCAGGCTTATTAATGTATATGTAAGCACAAAATATTTCAAATTTACAAAAGCATGTTAATGAATAAATGTCTTAAACCTAGAAATGCTGAAGATTTGCCAACGGCTCAAAAGTATATTGTTAAAATGGAAAAAATACATGATGTCTCATAATTTGGTTTTTTAAGGCCTTTTCCATCGACATTG